TTTTTAAATTTATTTGTGTGTATAACTTTAGTTACTTAAGTCTTTTGTATTTCTAGTTTTGAACAGTTCTGTATAAATTACTGCAATGAGAAACTCCAACAGCTGTTAATAGAGAGGACTCTCAAAGCAGAACAGGCAGAATATGAAATGGAAGGTATAGAGGTAAACATTTTAATGCTTTCTCATTTGATTTCTTGATCAGGCTAGAGACATTTACTTGAAATATTATTATATTATTTCATTGAAGATTTTCGTGACTAGCACTAACAATTATTTTTCAGTCCCTCTCTGCTTATTTCCTGGGAAGTTGTTTTGATGTTCAGAAAGTATTATTTTTTTAAGGTTGGATATAAACAGATTTTAGAAAAAAAAAACTTTGGAAAACCAATGTAAAACCAGTTTATTTTATGCTCATCTAAAATACTACTTGGAGAATTCTTTCCTCTTTGTCATTTTAGTGGGAGCCAATTCAGTATTTCAACAACAAGATCATCTGTGATTTGGTGGAAGAGAGACACAAAGGAATCATATCCATTCTGGTGAGAAAAGTAATGTTGAATTAGAGCCCACTCCTCTGGCCTTTACAACACCTGGAAGAACTTTTTCCTGGGCTTAAAAAGGGTTGAGAGTGGAATCTGCTAGATTATTGAAAGGTGCAAGTTGAGCTCTTTTGTTAAACTCGTACTTGAAGCTTTAGGCTGAGGATTTCCCCTCTCTTTTAGACTCTTAGGCCTAAATTACAGCCCATCAGGAGGCAGCAAGGAAAGACCTTTGAAAGGAAAGCGTGCACGTGTATCTTCCACGGACACAGAACTGGGGCTTAAGCTTGGGCAGGTGTTTGGCAGCAACTGGGGAGGGGCTGCTGTCATGCCTAGCACCTGAGCAGGAAGCCAGGCAACACGAAGGGACATCCATTGCTCCTGACTTCACGTTCCTCAGGATGGGCTTGTGACCTCGTTTTTTCTGAACTTTTGCAATTCATGCAAATAGCAGTGTCCTGGAATCCCCAATTGCTCAAATTCACACATCAATTTTTAAAATCTAAAAGCAAATGAGGAATTATTTCCTTCTCATGCTTGTCATTTGGGATCATCTGAACCACTGTTTGGTTCCCTTTTAATAAGAATAATTGGTCCCCTTTACCCTCCGTATCTCCCCAGCCCCCAAAGCCTGCCACCAACTGCTCTGTGAATCCAGCATTCTAACACATAGCAGGGATATTAATGGGTGGTGACTGTGGTTGCCAGGAACATAGGCATCACCTGGGTTCAAATCCCAGACCTACTGGTTACTAGCTGTGTGACATTAGGCAAGTGTCTTAACCTCTCTGAGCTCCAATTTCATTATCTTTAAAGGCATACGGTGATAACACTTAGACAAGCAGCTTAACGGACAAAATATGTGGATTGTGCCATGGAGAGAAAGCAGCAAAGGAAGATTGGGTTGCTGGGGGTGGGGGTCAGTTTTAGGTAAGATGGGGGGGTGCTCACTGAAAAGGTGACATTTGAGTAAAGACCTAAAGGAGGTAAAGGGTTGCACGCGGACACCTAGGGAATTATGTTCCAGGAAGCACGCACTGCTGTAAGCTAGTCTGTGCACGTTCAGTGTTCACGTGGATTGCTAGACTAGCATTTGTAAGTATTTAGGAACGAATGCTTGCTTCTGTTTGGTTTTCCATATGGAATGAGAAAGCATAGAAATGTTACTTCATAAAAGTTGTCTCACCAGCTTAACCCAGGTTTTCTTTTTTTTTTCTTTAACCTTAATCCTTCCTTGGAAACCCCAAGAATTTGTTGTTGGTGGTGGTGTTTTAATAAAAACTATAGGATTCATTTATCCATCATTTATTTTTATTTTTGAATTTTGAATTATTATATTTTGAGAGAGGGTCTCACTCTGTTGCCCAGGCTAGGGTGCAGTGGCATCATCATAGCTCACTGCAGCCTGGGCTCAAGTGATCCTCCTGCCTCAGCCTTCTGGGTAGCTGGGACCACAGATGCATGCCACCACATCCAGTTAATTTTTCTATTATCTGTAGGGACAGCGGTCTAGCTGTTGCTAAGGCTGGTCTTGAACTCCTGGCCTCAAGCCATCCTCCCAGCTGGGTCTTGCAAAGTTCTGGGATCATAGGCATGAGCCACTGTGCCCAGCCTCATCTGTCATTTTTTAAGACCATCAATTAATTGGTATCATTCTTGAGAACCAAAAATAGGACATACAGTGACACAACTTGGGAAATATGAAAGATTTTAGACTCCACTGGTTTTATAGCTTTCTTTCCATGAGGGCTTTGCTCCTACTCCAAGGGTCCATACACATTGTAATCTTGGTCAGTGATGACTGGTTTAGAGAAAATGAGGTTAATTAAGCTGGTCATGGCAGCTGTCGAGTATCCTTAGGAAGACTTTCAAAATGGGTCAGATGGGTGGGACCTGTCATAGAATTTCCAGTCACTCTGGTCCAATGGTCCCCTTATCAAATCTCAGCAGCTGAGCACATGTGGTGGAGAAGCCCCTCTCTTCCCCCAGAATGTTCACCTGAACTTGTATGAAGTGACATATTTTAGTCCGGTACTTTCTTCTATAGCAGGTAAAAACATTTAAATGTGAAATTGATGAATTCTCTTCTTGATTCATTTGCTTTTGCATTTCATGTACTTATCCTTTCAGTATTCTACAACAGATCTGATAAAGCCACTACCATTTATTGAGTCTTTACCATGGCCAGAAATTGCACTAGGCAGTTTAGGTGGTCATTTACAAAGCCATGTGGTAGGTATATTAATACCCCTATCTTGTAGAAGGGAAAACGTGTGGTTCTGTGTGCTGTGGATTGAGGCTTCTCTTTGTCTTTTGAAGGATGAAGAATGCATTCGTCCTGGTCCCGCTACAGACTTGAGTTTCCTGGAGAAATTGGAAGAGAAAGTGGGCAAACACGCACACTTCGAAACGTACGCACTTTATTTGACAAGCTGTTGCTTGGGGGAGGATAATCATATATTTACTTTCATATGTGGATGATGTTCCTCAAGAGTATGACTACTACTTCATACATAAAAATACCATGATGATACACCAACTCATATATGTGAATGCCTTTGTTAGTAGAAATCAAACTCGAATTTTAAGGGGAATTTTTAAGAAAGATGTTTTATCTTCCTTTATTCAATGATCATTGCATTTTGGGCATGTCCATTTGCGTGAAAGTCTCTTTTTTAAAATTCAGGTATAGAATACAGTGACGTGTGTAAATCTGAAATGTACAACCTGATGAATGTTTATCTGCGTATGAGCCCATGTAACCGCCATGCAGATCGAGATGTAGGATCAGCATTCCAGAAGGTCAACTAGACCTTTAGTCTTTGAGACGAGGAGGAGGAAGCTTAAGAGCATATGCCCTGGAGTCATAACAACCTAGTTTTAAATCCCACCTTGGCCACTTTCTGGACATGTGACTTGGGCAAGCAACTGTATTTGCGTTTCCCCCCTCTACAAGCTGGGAATATTAATATTAAATACGTCTACCACATAGCTTTGTAAATGACTCCATGAATTGCCTAGTGCAGTTTCTGGCCATGGCAAACACTCAATGAATGGTAGTGGCTCCATCAGCCCTACTATAGAATCCTGAAAGGATAAGTAAATGAAATTGCATACACAAATGGATCAAGAATGGAAAAATAAATGGGGTACATTCACAAGTGGAATAACATGTCACCATGCAAATGAATAATCTGTAACTACATGCAATGATGTGGGTAAATCACACAAGTGTGAGAAGAGAAGCCAGACCCAAAAGATTGTATACTATATATAATTCCATTTCTATAAAACATACAATTACTGAAGTTAACTTATGCCGTTGGCTGTCAGGTTGCATCTGGCAAGCGCTCAACGTGGGGGTTCTCGGGGACTGGTCATGCTCTACTTCTCGATCAGGGTGCTTGTTACACGGGCGTGTTTAGTTTTTGAAAATGCATTGAGCTGTACACTTAGGGTATATGTGCTGTCAATAATATATATTTAAGAAAAAAGGTTATTTTAAAAAGCATGCATCTCCTGAATCTGAAAAGTGATGTTTCATGAGTATTTTGGTGTCTCAATGTCCTAAAAAATGTTAAGGTAGTAAAAATAAAAGGATTCTTGTTATCACCTAGAAAAGCAGACGCGAACTCGTACAGATACGTGCGTTCCTGTGGGTTACGATGCGTTCTCAGGGTTTACGAGAAGCGGGGAGTGCGATTTTGGTGCCGTTTCGTTGCAGCGGAGCAGAGAGGCTCAGCTCGTGTCTGTTTCTGTCTCGCAGCCGTAAGCTGGCGGGTCCGAGAGGCAGGAAGAGGATCGGCTGGATGGAGTTCCGACTCCTCCACTACGCGGGAGAGGTCACCTACTGCACCAGGGGTGAGTGGCTGAGGGCTGCAGCCCTGCGGGTGCCCCGTGTGCGCGCGGCCAGGTGTCCTGACGAAAGCACCGAGTCCCCTGGGGAAACGCCGCACGGCCATGCCAAACGTGCCCTCGCCTCCCATCCGAGCCATCTGAAAAAGTCTTTCTCATTTATTTAGTATTTTTATAAATGACCATTCTGTTGAGATATAATTCACATATCATACATTTCACCCATTTAAAGTATACGATCCAATAATTTTTGGCATAGAGTTGTGCAAACATCACCAGTCTATTTTAGAACATTTCATCACCCCAAAAAGAAACCCTCTGCTCAGCAGCAGTCACCCCCTGTTTCCCTCCCCTGCCCCATCCCCATCCCCTGTGGTCCTAGATAAAGAACTAACCTACTTCTTGTTATTCTTGACGCTTTCTCTAACGGGAATCATACAGCACGTGGCCTTTTGTGTCTGGCTTCTCTCACTTAGCATCGTGTTTTCAAGGCTTACCAGTGTTTCCGTTCCTTTTGGTTGCCAAATAATATTCCGTTATATGGATATGGGCCATATATCGTTTACCTATTCCTCGATCGTTTGCTGGTGGACATTCGGGGTGTTTGTGCTTTTAGCTATTATAAATAATGCTGCTGTGGGCCGGGCGCGGTGGCTCACGCCTGTAATCCTAGCTCTCTGGGAGGCCGATGTGGGCGGATCGTTTGAGCTCAGGAGTTCGAGACCAGCCTGAGCAAGAGTGAGACCCCGCCTCTACTAAAATTAGAAAGAAATTAATCGGCCAACTAAAAATATATACAAAAAATTAGCCGGGCATGGTGGCACATGCCTGTGGTCCCAGCTACTCGGGAGGCTGAGGCAGGAGGATTGCTTGAGCCCAGGAGTGTGAGGTTGCTGTGAGCTAGGCTGACTCTATGGCACTCACTCTAGCCCGGGCAAAAAGAGTGAGACTCTGTCTCAAAAAAAAAAAAAAAATAATGCTGCTGTGAGCATGCCTGTGTAATTTTAGCATGGAGATACGTTTTCATTTTTCTTTTCGTACATATCTAGGAGTGGAGTTACTGGATCAGATGGTAACCCGATGGGTTATCTTTTGAGGACCTGGCGGGCTGTTTTACAGAGCAGTTGTCTCATGTTACATCCCCACCAGCAGTGCCCGAGGGGTTCGAATGTCTCCACAACCTCCCCATACTTGTTATTATCTGTTACATTATTCTATTCATATATGACATGTCCTGTATATTATGTTCTATATGTTATGTCTGTATTCTATATATTAAGTGTATGTTGCTGTTAAATTGTTTGAGTCCCTTTATCACATGTCAAGGTATGTGTGATCATTCGATATATTCATATAATCAAATCAAGGTATTAGGATATCGATAACCTTAAATATTTATCTTTATGCTGGGAACATTTGAATTATTCTCTTCTAGCTATTTTGAAATGTACAATAGATTAATGTTAATATAGTCACCCTACTGCTCTGTCGAACACCTGGTCTTCTTCCTCCTATCTAACTGTACGTTTGTACCCATTAATCAAATTCTCTTCCTCTTTCCCTCCCCTTCCGCCTCCTGCCCCTGGCAACCACCAAGCCACTCTCTGCCTCCATGAGATCCACTTTTTAGCTCCCACATATGAGTGAGAACATGCAATGTTTGTCGTTCCCTGCCTGGCTCATTTCACTTAGCATAACGTTGTCCAGTTCCATCCAGTTCTATAAATGACAGGATTGCATTCCTTTTTTAGCTGAATGATATTCCATTGTGTATCTATACCATATTTTCTTTATGCATCATCCACTGATAAGCACTTAGATTGATTCCGTATCTTGGCTGTTGTGACTAGTGCTGCAGTAAACACAGGAGTGCAGATATCTCCTCAGTGTATCGATTTCCTTTCTTATGGATATGTGCCCAGTCGTGGAATTGCTGGATCATATATGCCAGTTCTACTTTTAGATTTTTGAGGAAACTCCATGCTGTTTTCCGTAGTGACTGTATCAATTTCCACTCCCACCAACAGTTACGAGGGCTTCCCTTTCTCCACATCCTCGCCAGTATCCATCACTCCCTGTCTTTTGATAATAGCTAAATGGGGTGCGATGATACCTCATTGTGGTTTTGATGTGCATTTCCCTGATGACTGATGTCGAGCATTTTTCATATACCTGTTGGCCATTTGTATATCTCCTTTTGAGAAATGTCTATTCAGAGCTTTTGCCCGTTTTTAAAAATTGATTCTTTGGGTTTTTTGCTGTTGAGTTGTTCGAGCTCCTTATATATTCTGTTTATTAATCGCTTGTCAAATGGATAGTTTGTAAATATTTTCTCCCATTCTGTGGGTTGTCTCTTCGCTCTGTTGATTGATTCCTTTGCTGTGCAGAAGCTTTTTAACTTGATAGTCTATAATCCCATTTGTCTATTTTTGCTTTTGTTGCCTGTGCTTTTGAGGTCTTACACAAAAAATTTTTGCCAAGACCAGTGCCCTGGAGCATTTCCCCAATGCTTTATTCTATTAATAAAGGTTTTAGATTTAACTCTTCAATCCATTTTGATTTGATTTTTGTATATGGTGAGAGATGGGGTCTAGATTCATTCTCCTGCTTATATTTATCCAGTTTTCTCAGCACCATTTATTGAAGAGACTGCCCTTTCCCAATTGTATGTTTTGGGTACTTTTGTCAAAAATGAGTTGGCTGTAAAAGCATGGATTTATTTCTGGGTTCTCTATTCTGTTCCACTGCTCTGTGTGTCTGTTTTTATGTCAATACCATGCTGATTTGGTTACTGTAGCTTCATAGTATATTTTGAAGTCAAACAGTGTGATGCCTCCACCTTTGTTCTTTTTGCTCAGGATGGCTTTGGCTATTCGGGGTCTGTTGTGTTTTCATACAAATTTTAGGATTTATTTTTTTATTTCTGTGAAAAATTACATTGGGGTTTTTATAGGGATTGCATTGAATCTGTAGATTGCTTTGGTTAGTACTGTCATTTTAACAATATTAATTTTTCTAATCCATAAGCATGGAATATCTTTTTCTTTTTTTGCGTCCTCTTCAATTTCTTTTATCAGTGTTTTATAGTTTTCCTTGTAGAGATCTTTCACATCATTGGTTAAATTGATTCCTAGGTATTTTATATTCTTTGTAGCTACTACTGTAAATAGGATTGCTTCCTTGATTTCTTTTTTCAGATTGTTTGCTATTGGAATATAGAAATGCTACTGATTTTTGTACATTGATTTTGTATTCTGCAATTTTATTGAATTAGTTTTAACAGTGTTCTGGTGGTGGCATCTTTAGGTTTTTCTAAGTAATAAGATCATGTCATCTGGCTGGGTGCAGTGGCTCATGCCTGTAATCCTGGCACTTTAGGAGGCCAAGGGGGGAGGGTTGCTTGAGGCCAGGAGTTCAAGACCAGCCTAAGCAATACAGTGAGACCCCCATCTCTATAAAAAAAAAATGGAAAAATTAGCTGGTCATGATGGTGCATGATTCTAATCACAGCTACTCAGGAGACTGAGGCAAGAGGATCACTTGAGCCCAGGATTTTGAGTTTGCAGTTTGCTATGATGACACCACTGCATGCCAGCCCAGGCACCAGAGCAAGACCCTGTCTCAAAAATAATAAATAGGTAAATAAATAAAAAAAAATCATGTCATCTGCATATAAGGCTAATTTGACTTCTTTCTTTCCCATTTGGATGCCCTTTATTTATTTCTCTTGCCTAATTGCTCTGGCCAGAACTTCCAGTATTATGTTGAATAAAAATGGTGAAAGTGGGCATCCTTGTCTTGTTCCAGATGTTAGAGGAAAGGCTTTCAATTTTTCCCTCTTCAATATGATGTTGGCCTGTGGGTTTGTTATATGACATTTATTATTTTGAGGTATGTTCCTTCTATACCCAGTTTGTTGATGTTTTTATCATAAAGGGATGTTGAATTTTATTGAATGCTTTTTCAGCATCTATTAAAACAATCATATGGTTTTTGTTCTTGGTAATGTGATGCATCACATTTATTGATTTGCATATATCGAACCATCCTTGCATCCATGGGATGAATCCCACTTCATCATGGTGAATAATGTTTTTAATGTGTTGTCGTATTCAGTTTGCTAGTATTTTTGTTGAGAATTTTTACATCTATATTCATCAGTGATATTGGCCTGTAATTTTGTTTTGATTGCGTCCTTGTCTGGTTTTTGTATCCGGGTAATGCTGTCCTTGTAGAATGAGTTTGGAAGTATTACCTCCTCTTCAATTTTTTTGAAGAGTTTGAGTAGACTTGATATTAGTTTCCCTTTAAATGTTTGGTAGAATTCAGCAGTGATGCATTAGATCCTGGGCTTTTCTTTGATGGGAGACTATTATAGCTTCAATCCTGTTACTTATTATTGGTTTGTTGAGGTTTTTTATTTCTTCATGGCTTAATCTTGGTAGTTTGTATGTGTTGAGGAATTTATCTGTTTCTTTGAAGTTTTCCAATTTGTTGGTATATAGTTCATAATAATCTCTAATGATTCTTTGTATTTCTGTGGTCTCACTTGTGTCTTGTTTTTCATTTCTGATTTTATTGGGTCTTTTCTCTTTTTTTCTTAGTCTAGCTAAAGGCTTGTTGATTTTATTTATCTTTTCAGAAAGCCAACTTAACATTTCATTGATCTTTATTGTTTTTTTAGTCTCAATTTCATTTGTTTCTTCTCTGATATTTATTATTTCTTTCCTTCTACTAATTCTGGATTTGGTTCATTCTTGTTCCTCAAGATGCATCATTAGGTTGTTCATTTGAAGTTTTGATGAAGGCCATTTATTGCTATAAATTTCCCTCTTAGTAGTGTTTTTGCTATATCCTATAGACTTTTTGGTATGTTGTATTTCCATTTCTATTTCAGAAATTTTTTCATTTCCTTTTTAATTTTTTCATTGACCCATTGATTGTTCAGGAGCATGTTATTTAATTTCCATGTGTTTGTGTAGTTTCTGACGTTCCTCTTATTATTGATTTCTAGCTTTATTTCATTATGGGTCAGAAAAGATACTTGATATGATTTCTACCTTTTCAAATTTGTTGAAACTTGTTTTGTGGTCTAAGACATGGTCTTTTCCGGAGAGTGTTCCATGTGCTGATGAAAAGAATGTGTATTGTGCAGTTGGGTGAAATGTTCTGTAAATGTCAGTTAGGCCTATTTAGACTAATGATGTGTAGTTTAACTCTCATGTTTCTTTGCTGATTTTTCCATATTGATGATCTGTCCATTACTGAGAATTGGGTGTTAAAGTCCCCAACTATTACTGTACTGCAGTCTATCTCTCCCTTTAGATCCATTAATGTTTGTTTTATATACTTGGGAGTTCCAGTGTTGGTACATAGATATTTATAATTGTTATACCTCTTGCTGAATTGACCCCTTTAACATTGTATAGTGACCTTCTTTGTCTCTTTTTATAGTCTTCAATTTAAAGTCTGTTTTATCTGATATAAGTATAGCTACTCCTGCTCTTTTTTTGGTTTCCATTTGCATGGAATGTCTTTTTCCACCCCTCCACTTCCATTCTGTGTGTCTTTATAGATGAAGTGAGTTTCTCATAGGCAGCATATATGTGGGTCTTTTTTCTTTATCCATTCATCCACTCTATATCTTTTAATTGGAGAGCTGAGTCCACTTACATTCAGTGTCATTATGGATAAGAACATACTACTTCCATTTTGTTGCTTGTTTTCTGGTAGTTTGATAACTCCTCTCTTCCTTTCTTATTGTCTTCCTTTGTAGTTAAGTGATCTTCTCTGGTAGTATGCTTCTTATTTTTGGTGTTCCTATTATAGGTTTTTGCATTGTGGTTACCATGGGGCTTACAAAAAATCTTACAGATATAACAAATTATTTTACAGAGATAAATTTTCTTAGGTCACAAAAAAAAATAGAAACAAACTAAGAAAAACTATCAAAAAACCCTCTGCACTTTAATTCCATCCCCCCACACAGATTTTGACTTTTTGTTGGCTCAATTTACATATTTTTATATTGCCTATCTCTTAACAGATTGCCATAGCTATTATTGTTTTGATTTATCTTTTAGGCTTCATACTAGAGTTATGAAGCCTACACCATAATTACAGTATTGGAGTTTTCTGGGGTTTTCTTTGTACTTAATTTTACCACTGGCTTTTATGTCTTAAAATGTTTTCTTTTTACATGTTAATGGTATTTTTCTTTCAGGTTGAATATCTCCCTTTAGTATTTCTTGTTAGTCGTGTCTGGTGGTGATGAATTCTCTTGGCTTTTTTTAGGAAAAGTCTTTGTCTCCCTTTCATATCTGAAAGGACAGCTTTGCTGAAATATAGTATTCTACATTTGATATTTGAAAATTCTATACCACTCCCTCCTGGCCTGTATGCTTTCCATTGAGAAGTCTGTTGCCAGACAAATTGGAGTTCCTTTACATGTAATTTGCTTTTCTCTTGCTACTTTTAGGATCTTCTCTTTGTCTTTGACCTTTGAAAGTTTTAGTAGTATCTGCCTTAGGGTCGTCTTACTTGGGTTGAATCTGTTTGGTGTTCTCTGACATTTCTGTACCTAGATATTTCTTTCTTTCTTAAGTTTTGGAAAGTTTTCTGTTATTATTTCTTTGACTAAGCTTTCTACCCCTTTCTCTTGCTCAACTCCTTCTTGAACACAATAATTCTTAGATTTGGTCTTTTGAGGTAATTTTCAATATCTTGTAGGTGATCTTTGTTCCTTTTAATTCTTTTTTCTCCTCTGTGTAATTTCAAATAGGCTGTCTTTGAGCTCACTGATTCTTTCCTCTACTTAATCCATTCTGCTGTTGAGAGCCTCTAATGAATTTTTCAGTCCGGCAAATGTATTTCTCACTTCTAAGAGTTCCGTTTGATTTTTAAAAAATTATTTTAATCTCTTCATTAAATTTCTCTCATAAACTTCTGAATTGCTTTTCTGTGTTATCCTGGAGATCACTGAGTTTCCTTAAAACTGCTATTTTGAATTCCTGATCAGAGAGTTCACATATTTCCATCTCGTTAGGGCATGTCTCTGGTTCCTTGCTTTGTCCATTTGTGGGGGGCGGGGGGACGGTTTATGGTTTCCTATTTGGTGTTGCTTCTTATAGATGTACATGTACGTCTTTGTATTGAAGGATTAGTTATTCCAGTCTTCTCTGGCTTGTTTTGATTTTTATTGAGTATGTCTGCTTAGAGATTCTTAGTAATTTACCTGTTGAATGTCTTTTTTTCCACTGGGTTCCTGCCTCCTTTTTGGCACTAGATGGTACCTTATGTCCAGGTTTGCCTTGGCTCTAGTAAATGATAGGAATGCTGCCCATCCCAGCATTTAGGAGAGGTCCTAAGGGGATGGATGTCCCAGCAGTGTGGGAAGGCTGGCTAGGGGTTCATGCCCCGGGGACCTGTGGGGTGCGCTTTCTACAGTGTAGCCATTTTGATTTGGCATCTCTTTTGACCAAGTTACAGGAGAGCAGAGTTTCTGGGGCTGGGGAGGGTGGATCTACCTCCCCCCTTTGTCACTGCCTGTCCTCAGGGATATTTCTCCTTTCAGGCACTCATGATGCTTCTCAGAGGTTGAAGCAGGGACAAGTGTCCTGCCAGGTCCCCCTTGATCTCACAGTTTTCAGCACAGAAACCATGAGTCAGGGGAAATTATCTACACAGTTGGTGCCAGGCACATTGGAGGGGAGAGGTGTCCAAATCTCTTACCATCTGCCCTGAGTTTTTTTTACTTTGCTATGGTTCCAGGAACTGCCTCATCCTCACATTTGATTTCTGGGTCATTGCTGGTGATAATCTCAGCACCGTATATTTAGTTTTCTGTGGGGTGGGGAGTGAAGCCAGCTCGCTTCTACACTGCGATTTTATTTTTTCTTAGGCATTTTTGATGCATGTCTTTTTTTTTTTTAAAGCCAATTTTGACCTCATAATTCTATTTTGTCCCTAATTTAATTATTAACTGATTAGGTTTTAAGTAAACATATAAGCCAAGTTTTAAAATTAGAAGTGACACATCTTCCTTTGCATAAAGATGCCGTGGGGTACCACTGGCCATGGGGCTTGAGTTTGCTTTTTCTCAGTGATGGGGAATCTTCTCATCCATTCATATAATCTCACCTGGCTGACCTTAAGGCTCAGCGTCCTCTCCATTGTTCCTGCGTATTCACTGTACGTGCATTTCTTGGCTATTGGGTTGGGGCACATGCACAATACTTAGTGTAAAGGTGACATATTTACATGATAGCTCGTCAGGGTCAAGTACAGCATGTGTGCCATGAGTTCAGTTCTGAGAGTGTGGTTCTCAACCAGGGATGACGTTACCCACCCACCCTGGGATAGTTGGCAATATCTGGAGATATATTTGGTTGTTACAGCTGGGCAGAGTGCTACTGACATCTAGTGTGAGTAGGGGCTGGGGACACCGCTCAGCATCCTACAATGCCCAGGACAGCACCCACCACATAGAATGATCCAGCCCCAAACGTCAGTAGTGCTGAGGTTGAGAAACTCTGATCTGATCCTAAGAAATTATTCTTAGGAATTTCCCCTTGCAATCAGTTGGGATGGAATTGCATTTTTAGGCAAAGCCATTGATTCAAAAATGTTTTACTCAATGTTTTACAGGATTCTTGGAAAAAAACAACGATCTGCTTTACAGACATCTGAAAGAAGTAAGTCCAAAACTTAACTGTATATGTTTCTGATGATTCTGAAATAGCACCCTTGACACTGATTTTGGGGTAGATTTTGCCCTCTGGATTTTTATTTTCTATACTTTATCTTAGAACCCCAGCATGTCACAGCCAGGACAGATGTTTAAGATCATCTGTGTGAACACTTCACTCAACAAATCATTCAAGTGTGTGGGAGCCCCTTCTGGCTGCCAGCTCTGGAGTTCAGAACTGAACAAGACAGAGTACTTGTTCTCAAGGGGCTTACAGTTGGGGGTAGAGGGCAGAGAACAAATATATACACAAGTAAGTTATCTGTCAGTGAAAAGTGCTATGAAAAGGATAAACAAAAAACCATGATCAAGAGGGATATTTTTAATTTAGGTGATCCACAGAAACACCTCTATAGGCGTGACTTTGAGCTGAAACCTGAATGAGAATGATTTGACCATAGAAAGGTCAGGAGTTATTCCAGGTAGCGAGACCAGCATGTGCAAAGGCCCTGTGGCCTGGATGAGGGATAATGTCAAGAGAGGGGGCTTAGAGCTCACCACCAGCAGAAGCTGAGATTTTGTTCTGGTGCGAGGAGAACCATGACCTGAGGATGCAGGAACTGAGACCCAGAGAGGTCACAGCTTATACAAAATCACATCACAAGGTAGGGTGGGAGCTAGGATCAGCCCCTGGGGCTGCCAATGAAATTCCCAATCTCTTTCCATATAGCTCACCCATCAGAGAAACATTGGGTTTTTAGAGCCTTTATTTTGTATTGAAACAGTTAACTGTTACAAAGTTGGATTTTATTTAATTAGCTGGGTTTATAAAAAGCTTAAACCTAAGGCAACACTTTCAGAGTGATGAGGCGAACAGTTCATCTCAGGAGTGTTTTCTGCCTTCCTGAGATTTCTCTGCTACTTCTGGGACTGCTGTCCCAACCTTCCTGGATTCGGGGTAGATAAGTGATCCCTAACTCTGGATCCACCAGGCAGTTGCTGTGTGGGTCTGAGTCCCAGCCCGGCTCCTTCCCTGCTGAGGAGCTCGAGGCAGATTTCCCCATCAGTGAAGTGGGTCTGACGATGCCCTCCTCACGGAGTCTCTGTGCATAACGCAGGAGTGGAAGTGTCTGTTACAAGTGGGGGACAGTGTTCCTCTTGCGGCTTTCCCCTTGGGGAGCCGTGGCCATGCGCTTCACAAACTAATCCACGGAGCATGCATCACGCAGGTGAAATCTCTGAGTCTCTCCCTTCTCCAACCGGGGCTGAAGTTCCTTGAACTCTTTTTGATATCAAGATAGATCACTTCTAAACTTTTTCTTTCCTATCTACAAATGACTCTTCCATGTCCCTGTAAGTTTCAAATTGGGGTGGGTTAAACAAAAACAGGATCTCTCTCTGCTACCCAGGCTGGAATGCAGTGGCATCAGCCTAGCTCACAGCAACCTCCAACTCCTGGGCTCAAGGGATCCTCCTGCCTCAGCCTCCCAAGTAGCTGGGACTACAGGTGTGCACCACTGCACCCAGCTACTTTTTCTAATTTTTTTTTTTTTTGTAGAGACAGGGTCTCACTTTTGTTCAGGCTGGTCTTGAACTCCTGTCCTTAAGCAATCCTCTCGCCTTGGCCTCCCAAAGTGCTAAGATTACAGACATGAGCCACCGCTCCCGGCCTCATGTATTTTTTCCCATTTTTCTGTGTTAAGAATGTCTTCAGGTGCCCAAGAAGCAGATGGTTGGTTTTGTCACCTTAGGGACACTTCCGTAAGCCTTCCTGGAGGCTCCTTAGGGACTTCTGAAGCAGCGAATGTGGTGCTCGTTTCTCTGCACTTACAGGTGCTGTGCAGGTCCAAGAACAGCATCCTGAGGGAGTGCTTCCTGGTGGCCGAATTGGAAAACCGGAGGCGGCCGCCAACGGTGAGTGGGACAAATGCTTGTGCAGAATTGGAAAGAGAGCAAAAATCGCCTGGGGAGTGGGGTGTGATGACCTCGTTACCTGCACTTTTTAAGCCAGCCACCTCTTCTTCTGGAAATATCGCTCTCTAGCAGATTCTACCAAATATATACTTTTCGAGTTTAGCCCCAGTTCGTTCATTTGCAGACATTCATTGAACACCTCCTGTGTGTCAGGCACTGTGCTGGGCACAAGGGTTTAGCAAGGTCCCTGCCCTCAAGGGGCTTACAATCTAGTGGGAGGAGGGTGTAGGGATACCATCAAATAAGTAAAGAACTTACGATAGCACCAGTGTCACGAAGGAAGCATGGCAACAAGGAAACACAAGGGAAGGTGGCAGAGAGTGACAGGCTCAGCTGTGGCCCTGGTTCCCTGCAAGGCACTCGCCGTGTATTTGCGGAGCAAGTGGAGCATTCTGGACAGACGCTTGTCCAGCTTCTGCGTGACCAGCCCAAGCCTGGGCTTCTCAGGTCAGCACAGCCAAAGCTGCCTCTTAACGGGCAAAACAGTAGCAAGGAAGACAATCTTTCAAGAGTTCGGCTCTAAAGGGCTGGAGCCTCATGCTCCAACCAGCCTTCTGTGTATTTATCAGAAGCAGCAATGTCTACTCAGTTTGTTCTCTCTCCGCAGGTGGGGACTCAGTTTAAAAACAGTCTGAGCAGCCTTCTAGAAATTCTCATCTCTAAGGAGCCCTCGTACATCCGTTGTATCAAGCCCAATGACAGAAAAGAACCCAGTGAGTTGTGAATCATTCTGAACACCGAGCTCAGGGAAAAGGCTGGCAGGGCAGACCACGACGGCAGTGGGTTAGGATCCCCAAATACACATGAATTGTTTTCCTTTTTAAATAACGGAAGGTAAATGAATTGGTCGGCGCTTGGTCAGTTTCAGGAGCAACACAGCTGAGCCAGGCAGGTGTCAGAGGTGAGGGGAAACAGCATGGCTTTTCTCCAGCCAGTGAACAGTCTTCCAGAATGGTCTGTGTGTGACTTAGGTATTTTCCAAGCACTTGCCATGGTCTATAATGAAGTCATACAGTCAGAGGCTTACAGAAGCCAGGCAGGAAGAGCAAAGGAGAGAAGAGGACAGAGTGTAGTAAGGCAATAGGGATTGGAGGGGACTGTGGCAAACTGGAGACAAGGGAACATCCTGTTTAAAGGGGCAGCAGCGCCACTCACTTCCACCCGGTTGTTGCCACGTGGGACTCTGGGCCCAGGATGGCTAGATCTCGTGATTTTTCAGAGGACACCAGAAATCGAGATTTTTCTATAAAATTCACCCATTAAAAAAAAAAGCACAAAGCCTAAGAAAACGTGTCTGTGGCCAGATCCAGCCCACGGATCTTCAGCTTGCAGCCTCTCTGGCTTGGCTGAGATGAAGCCACAGGGTCCTTTACTGTCATTTTTTTCTCCTGTTCCTCCAAAGGCAGGTTTGACGACTTCCTCATACGGCACCAGATCAAGTACCTGGGGCTGATGGAGCACCTGCGGGTGAGGCGGGCCGGCTTTGCGTACCGGCGGAAATACAAGCATTTCTTGCAGAGGTAAAGCGTGCTTTGCTGATCTGAAGCCAGTAACGCCTGCTAGCTGCGAGTCTCTGCGATTTGGTGGGAAATGAGATGGCATCCCTTAGGGAATGCTGTTCGGTTCTTACCTGCTGTTGTCACGGCAGCAAAAAACACTAACATTTCGGAGAACATAAAAACCTAGCTTGTACCATTTTCTATTCATGCCACTAACCCCTAACTGCTTTCCATCAATGAATGGCAAAACCGAGTACACAGATCTGCCACCAGGGGGCAGGCGTGGGCAGGGCCCCCATGGGGACTTAGCTGGGCTGATTGTCCGTTTGTGACAGTCTGGGCTGGTTTAGTGTCTTAGCGTCACCGGCTGTCAAGAACGGCAGGTTAGCGGCAGGCGCACGGGCTTTGGAACCACACAAACTTGGGTTGGAATCTTTATTCTGTCTCTTATAGCTGTGACCTAGTCCTTATCTGTAATGTGAGGATTCAATTGTGCTTGAAGTACTTTCTTGGGTGGATTATAAATAGATACAGTCTGTGCTTGGGGAATTTATAAGGACTTAATGATGCACCCCAAGTCACCTGTACACCAGCATTTCTTTGGTGATGGGCTGGGTGTGAATTTGTGCCACTAAAATAGCAACATAGTCTCAAGCATAATAAAATGGTCATTTCGGGGGGGGGGCCAGAATGGTTGAATATCAGTGGCAATTTCATATGGTTCAAGCTAATATTGGGCTTTTTTTTTTGGAGACAGAGTCTCACTTTGTTGCCTGGGCTAGAGTGAGTGCCGTGGCGTCAGCCTAGCTCACAGCAACCTCAAACTCCTGGGCTCAA